TTAACCAACTCACACCTCAGATAAGTCTCAAAGACCTTTCTTCTTTGGTTAGACATAGAGCATCAATCACTCAGAAACTGATAGAACACTTTGATCTTTCTGACTCGGCAATCTTTTCTGTTTCAGGAACCATGAAGAGACTCCACCTGAAACTGAAGACACACAACAACTCCACCTCGCTTCCAGAACTCGGGTAATGACTTTTAACACTTTAAACTGCTATGTTGAAACTCAAAACAGAAACGATTAGCTTAATAAAGACTAACACACTTCTCTCTGTCTTGCGAGGTAAAAGTTCAACACTGAAGCCATGTCATCACCCGTAGCCACAACCGGACTCAGAACAGATTCACCAACTCAGAACACAGCCTGAACTTCGGACCAGGTAACACCTTTGTCAAAAAATCTGCTGGATTCTTGCTTGTGTGAATCTTGAAGCTATCTTTAGTTTTCTGTATTTCAGCCAAATCACCTGATGCTATTAACATATCATCAACGTATAGCAGTAGGTAGATAGCCTTAGGAGTATTGATGTTTCTTAGGTATACACATGAGTCGTACTTGCTCTGTAGGAATTTCTCCCTCTTCATAAAACTGTCAAACCGTAGATTCCATTGTCTTGGAGATTGCTTTAAACCACAGAGAGATTTCCTTAGTAGACAGACCTTGTTCTCATCTCCTGATTTAATGTACCCTTCAGGTTGATCCATTAGAATCCTTTCTTCTAGAGAACCGTGTAGAAAAGCTGTCTTAACATCCATCTGTTCTAGTTCATAGTCTCTGTTAACCACAATAGATAGCATTATTCTGATAGAAACATGTTTTACCACAGGAGAAAATATCTCATTGTAGTCAATGCCTTCTTTCTGTGAATAACCCTTAGCTACGAGTCTAGCTTTATATCTTCTCTCTTCAACTCCTGGAATCCCTGGTTTATATTTGTAGAGCCATTTACAACCCACAGTCTTCTGTCCCTTTGGTTTTTCGATTAGATCCCAAGTATGATTCCGAGTCAAGGAATCCATTTCATCATCCGATGCATTGTTCCATAGNCAATGCCTTCTTTCTGTGAATAACCCTTAGCTACGAGTCTAGCTTTATATCTTCTCTCTTCAACTCCTGGAATCCCTGGTTTATATTTGTAGAGCCATTTACAACCCACAGTCTTCTGTCCCTTTGGTTTTTCGATTAGATCCCAAGTATGATTCCGAGTCAAGGAATCCATTTCATCATCCGATGCATTGTTCCATAGCTTCCTATCTTTACTTCTCTGAGCTTCCTGATACGACTTAGGTTCATTTTTCTCAATATCATCTGCTACTGCTAGCGCATATGCAACCAAATTTGCATCCTCATATCTAGATGGTGGTCGGACATTTTGTCTTCGAACTCTATCTCGAGCTAGCATGTAGTTATCAAGAGGAACATTAGCATCGGTGTCTTCTTCGAAATTTAAACCCTCTGTCTCATCCTCACTGTCTGAGTTTTCTGAACCTGCATACTCTTCTGTGTCTTGTTGAGATGCTTCAGTATTTCCAACACCAGAAGATTCACCATGTTCATATTCAGGGCTGTTAGGACCTCTGATCAGACTTGGACTAAACGAAACCTTCTTCTTGAGTTTAATTTTCCCTTCCTGTGTAGTTCCTGAATCCTTAGTACGATCTGTAGTATTCTGAACTTGAGTATCCTTATAGATCTCTTCTTCCCTGAACACAACATTCCTACTCGTAGTACACTTTAAATCCTCAGGAATCCACACCCTGTACCCTTTAACTCCAAACGGATAGCCAAGAAACACTCCCTTTACAGCTCTAGGACTAGTCTTCTCCTGAGTAACATGCACATATGCTGTGCATCCGAACCTCCTCAGATGTGATAAATCAGGCCTGTTCCCTGACCAAACTTCCTCTGGTAGTTTGAAGTCAATGGTTGAATTTGGAGTCCGATTTATCAGATATACTGCAGTTAATGTAGCCTCTGCCCAAAACTCTGGTCCCAACCCTGTTTCTGCCAACATACTTCTCACTTTATCCATAATGGTGCGGTTCATACGTTCTGAAACCCCATTTTGTTGAGGAGTGTAAGTGCAGGTTCTGTGCCTCTTTATTCCAGACTTTCTGCACATATCATCAAACTGATTATTGCAGTATTCCAAGCCATTATCTGTGCGTAAACATCGGATACTCTTCTTCGTATAACTCTCTACAGCCTCCTTCCATTCTTTGAACTTAGAGAAAGCTTCGTCTTTAGTTCTTAGGAAATACACCCAGACCTTCTTAGAGTAGTCATCGATGAAGCTAATGAAGTATTTGCAACCTCCCAGACTTTCTGGAGTTGAGGGAGATCCCCAAAGATCTGAATGCACATACTCAAGTATTCCTTTTGTAGTGTGCTTAGCCTTAGGAAAACTTTGTTTGTGTGATTTTCCCAATACGCATCCTTCACAAAACTCTAGTTCTCCAACTTCAGTCTTTGGCAGAAAACCCTCCTTTACTAATATCTCCATGTTCTTAAAACTCATATGACCAAGGCGTGAATGCCATAATGTAGTTTTCGAACTTATAGCTTGACTTACATTTGCTTCACCTTTTGATACAGTACCTTGTAGATAATAAAGTCCATTTGCATATTTGCCTGAAATGACCTTTTGTCCTTCCTTGTAGAATGTGACTTTAAAATCTTCGCCTGCATAATTGCATCCTGACTTCTCAAGCATACCATAGGTGATAAGATTTCTACTCATGTCAGGCATATAGCGTACGTCTTTAAGAATAATCACATCTCCATCATCATTTGTGATTCGTATATTGCCAATGCCTTTTACTTCACTCTGAGTATTGTTAGCCATTAAAACCATACTACCATCTCCGTCCCTTAGATCAAACAAAACGTCTTTGTCAGGAGTAATGTGAAACGTGCAACCAGAGTCTAGTATCCATTCTTGTTTAGAATCATGAGTACTTGCAGTTAGAACTAGTGGTTGCCTTCTTTCTGTTACAGCATTAACTTCTTGTTCACTATTACTTCTCTGATCTCTGTTAGGACATTCACGTTTCCAGTGACCTTCTTTTCCACATCTGAAACATGCTCCTTTCTTTGTTTTGTTTGACCTGCCTCTGGACTTTGATCTGTCTCCTCTACTCTTTGATCTGTAATTTTTCTTACTGTTGTTACCATTGTCTTGTCGCTTAGATGACCTTCCTCTTGACTCAACATATAAACCTTCAGAGTTAGGCTTCTTCTTATTTAACAACCCTTTTTGTCTAAGCTCTGCTTCTTTTGAATATGCTGAGGTAACAACTTCAGAAACCGTGAGAGTATCTTTTCCTGTACCATATTGAAGAGTGTGTACCAGTGGCTCATACGCAGCAGGAAGACCAGAGAGCAACTGGATCGCTTGATCTTCATCTGATATGGTAANCCTTCAGAGTTAGGCTTCTTCTTATTTAACAACCCTTTTTGTCTAAGCTCTGCTTCTTTTGAATATGCTGAGGTAACAACTTCAGAAACCGTGAGAGTATCTTTTCCTGTACCATATTGAAGAGTGTGTACCAGTGGCTCATACGCAGCAGGAAGACCAGAGAGCAACTGGATCGCTTGATCTTCATCTGATATGGTAATCTTCAGACTTTCTAGATCAGCTATCAGTTTTAGAAATACATCCACATTCTCTTCTATTGACTTGTCTTCCTCCATTTTGTAACAGGAAAATTGCTTCTTGAGATAGATCCTATTAGGAAGTGACTTGAGTTGGTACTGCTTTTCAAGTGCCTTCCACATTCCGAGAGCGGTAGGCTCATTCATAACCTTCCTCAAGATAGAGTCGCTCAAGCTAGCACCAAGTAAGCTCCGTACTCTCAAGTCCTTTTCAGCTTTCTTTTGGTCAATTACTGGTTCTTCACCTTCTACTTGCTTTTCAGATGTAGAGTAAATGGTGAAACCATCCACAATAGCTTGCAGAAGCCCCTGGATCTCAAGCTGCCCCATCATCTTGTACTTCCAAAGACCGAAGTCTCCTTTACCATCGAACTTATCAATCTGAAACTTTCCGTGTGTTGGTTCCATCTTGTTCACTTGACACACTGAAGGTTCACTGCAACAAGATCACACAACACAAGCAACAGCCACAACACGCCTCAAACACAGATAAGTAAACCTAACTTTCAGATCTGATCTCCTCTTAATCCTAGCACCCAACCTTGTGCTCTGATACCACTTGTAGAGTTTTGAGCCAGATACTTCTAGGTTTATACTTGTTCGTTCTAGTGTTTATAATCAATCTCAATTCCGTTTCAGGTTAAGATTGACTCAAGCAAGAAAACTAGAGAGTGCAAACGAGATTTGTTCACCCGGTGTTCGATGATCTACTCACCGGGGAGGGAATCGGTGTCCCTCAACTGCTTCACTAAGATATGAGCTCGAAAACAGAGTACAACAATGGCGATTACAATCGCACACGGTTACAACAAAGAAAAGAACAAGCTCACTTGCCGTATCCTCTATGACGCCGGAAAATCACCGCCGGAATGGTACGATCTGACCGTATACCGCTTTCGTGACTCCGTCGACGTCAACCTCACGACTTGAGCTGAGTAATCTCTATCTCTCTTCTTTCTCTGTATTCTCTTGATCTCGTTTCTCTCTCTTCTGTGTACCGATAGAGAAGACGAGATGCAACTAGTTTGTTATAACAAACTCCTCCACTTGCGTTGAAACGCAGCCGTATTACTTTTCCTGAATATGGGCTGAGACTCAGAATTTCTGGTTGCAGGCTTCGAAGACTAATGGGCCAGAATCCGTAAAGCCCACTTGGAGTTTGGCTGAACAAAGATCCACAATTAGTAACTTTGTTCATGCCATTTCTCGCATTTCACTAGATTTTTCAGAACAAAATCAAACATAAAATTTGGATAATAACTTTTTCTTCAGGCCATTTTTCGTATTTACGTAGATTTTTTTAAGAGCAAAAACAAACATAAACAACAAGCTTTACTTACTGGAGACATCTCCGAGGCGATCTTAAGACCATTTGGAAGAGTAGTGATCTTAAGTTTGCTCGGCTCGACACTGTCAGCAAGCGGAGGAGGAAGAGATACACCCTGCAGTGGCATATCCAATGAAGTAACCGAACCAGAGGATCCACCAGTAAACCATCCAAAGAAACCTGGAGAAGAAGAGCTCGTAGCAACAGCACTAGAGCTTGCATAACGCGCAGAAAAATTACATGGCTGTTAAGACGGATATTAGCAAGGCTACAATCGTATTGAGTGGAAGCTTTTAGAAGAGGTTATGCAAAATATGGGTTTTTTGTGAACAATGAATTATGCTGATTATGCAATGTGTTTCTACAGTATCCTATTCAGTCATGGTTAATGGTAGTTCGTATGGATATTTTCAAGGAAGCAGAGGTATACGACAAGGTGATCCCCTGTCACCTACTCTGTTTATACTTTGCGCAGACATTCTTAGTTCTATGATTATTTAGGCTGAGACTGCACATGAAATTAAGCCATTGAGAATTAGTATTGGAGGTCCTTCAGTTCTCATTTGCTTTTTTCTGACGATTCTTTGTTCTTCATTAAAGCTAACCAGAATAATAGTCAACATTTACTTTGGATTTTCAAAAACTACGAGCAGTTTTCAGGCCAAATGATCAAAAGTTTTCCAGCAAACACGGGATCTTATACAAATTACACTAGGTATTACCGAATATTGGAGGTGGTGGTAAGTACTTGGGATTCCCAGAGCAGTTTCGTCGAAATAAAAACACAATGTTTGCGTATGTGAAGGACAATATCAATGGGAAAGTCAATGGATGGCAAAACAGATTTTTAAATATGGCAGGGAAGGAAATTTTAATTAAATATGTTGCTCTTGCTGTGCCAGTTTACTCTATGAATTGTTTTAAATTGTCTGTTGAACTTTGCTCTGAGATAGATTCAATACTTTCACGTTTCTGGTGGGGATCAAGTCCATAGAACAGGAAGATGTCATGGCTATCTTGGAAACGATTAACCTTTCGAAACAGGCTGGGGATTTAGGTTTTCTAAACTTACAAAAGTCTAATCAAGCTTTGCTTGCTTCACAAGTCTGGAAAATTAGCCAGCGCCCACAAAGTATGGTATATAGGATTCTAAAACACCGTTATTTTTGAAAACATCCATATGGAAATGTACAAGAGGTTACCAAAGCTCTTATGGGTGGCAGTCTTTACTTTACGGACAGGAACTTCTAGAAGTCGGAATGCAACACAGTATTGAGATGGTACTGACGTCACAATCTCCAATCTCAGATAGTTGGCTTCCTACAATACTACCGCGTGCTCCTCGTCTACTCCCATATACAAATCCAAATTCGCCTGTCAAAGTTTGATAGATATCTCAACAAATAAATGGGAATTGGATGTGTTGATGGTCCCAGATATTTGCTTCAAGAGTTAAACGTAAAAGACACAAGATTTTTGTTGGTAGTATTGACTACCTTTTTGGTTTTTCTTTATTGCTTAAATAGAAAGAACTACAAACGTAGTTGGAGTTTCAACTCCTACGAACATGGAAATGGGAAAAGTGGAAGAGTTGGTTCCTCAACACAAGGAGACCACTTCTCTTCTTATTGACAATAACAAGAACTTAAACAAATAACCCAAATAACTAATAATTAAAATACTTGCGGTTTGGTACACTTCTCCGGTTAGACGTACGCCGGTTTGGTTCAACGTCACGTTCTTCTTCTTCATTCAAATCTTCTCGTTCTTCTTCTGCTACTGTGCTCGCATCATTACCGCCGTCCCAAAAAAGAATCTTGTCCTCAAGATTCAGCAAGGGAAAACTCTTTCGTAGCTGTTCCACACTCTCCCAAGTAGCATCATCGAACGTTAAATCAGTCCATTTCACCAAAGCCTCACGTACCTCTGTCTCACCAGAACCTGTGGTGCGAAACTTCAGAACACGTTCTGGAACAAGTCGGAGATTGCCGTTTGCTCTGATTGGTGGGAACGTTCCAGAAGTAGGTATCTCCTTTCCGATGTGTTTCTTAAGAAGAGAAACATGGAAAACAGGGTGAACACGAGTCCCCTCCGGAAGTGTTAAACGGTATGCCACCGCTCCAATGCGTGCCTCGATTTTAAAAGGGCCATAATACCGTGTAGACAGTTTGTGTGATGTCCTCTTGAAGATTGTATGTTGTCGATGTGGTTGTAGCCGTAAGTAAACCCAATCGCCAATCTGAAAGGTGACATCTCTGCGTTTCAGGTCTGCTGCTTGTTTCATCCTATTGGACGCACTTGCTAAATTTTTCTTCAGCTCTTGGAGAACAAGATCACGCTCCAACAGCAGCACATCTAACTCTTGTACCGGTGTTGAACTTCCCTCGTAGCCAATCAAGGGAGGAGGCTCACGACCGTAAAGAGCTTTGAAAGGAGACATACCTGTTGAAGCATGATATGTCGTATTGTACCAGTACTCTGCCCATGGAAGAAGGAAACTCCATTGCTTTGGTCTGTGATGAACGAAACAGCGTAGGTATTGCTCAATGCAGCGATTAACAACTTCGGTTTGTCCGTCGGTTTGAGGATGATATGCCGATGACATCTTGAGCTGTGTTCCGTTCAGACGCCATAGTTCTTTCCAGAAAGTGCTCACAAAGATAGGATCTCTGTCGCTAACAATCGACCTAGGAATCCCATGATGTTTAACAACAGCATCAACGAACTTGGAAGCCACTAACCTTGCTGTATATGGATGAGCCAATGGAACCAAGTGAGCTGCTTTTGAAAGTCGATCCACCACCACCATAATCGAAGTATGATTGTCTGATCTTGGCAACCCATCTACAAAATCCATAGACACATCTTCCCATAGCTGGTTCGGAATTGGGAGCGGCTGGAGCAGTCCCTTTGGTGACAAGCTTTCTGACTTCACCCGCTGACAAACACCACACTGAGCCACGTAGTCCCTGATGGTTTTATGCATAGACGGCCAGTAGAACTGTTGTGAGATGCGCTTAAGTGTTCTGAGAACGCCAGAGTGGCCTCCCATTGGTGTGTCATGAAATTCTTTCAACAAAATCTGGATGATAGGTGAATCAGGTGGGATAACCAAACGATTGTTAAAGTAGATCATACCATTGCGACGCACATATGATCCTCCTGGGTTCTCGTCTGCCATGTGCCCCAGTTTGAGAAGATACTGATTAGTTGTTGTTGCATCACGAAGAACATTCCAGAAGTCAGTTTGCTGAGAGTAAACAGCATTGAGGCATGGACTATGAGAGCGGCGAGACAGTGCATCAGCTGCGGCATTTGCTGTTCCCGGCCGGTATGTAATCTCGTAATCATATCCTACCAGCTTACCCATCCATTTCTACTGCTCTGGTGTCAGGATGCGTTGCTCAAGTAGGTAGCGAAGGCTCCGCTGGTCAGTCTGGATAGTGAATCTGCGACCAAGAAGGTAAGGCCGCCAGGTACGTACTGCAATTACTATGGCCAGCATCTCTCTCGCATAGGTGGACCAGCTCTGTTTCTGTACCCCAAGCGAACGGCTCATGTATGCAATTGGTCTACCTTGCTGCGTAAGTACGGCTCCGATTCCTTCTCCTGAGGCATCCGTCTGTATAATGAAAGGGATAGAGAAGTTTGGCAAAGCTAAGGTTGGAGTTGTCGTCATGGCTGTTTTGAGGTGTTTGAAAGCTTCCTCCGCTTGAGAAGACCACTCGAATTTCCCTTTCTTGAGGAGGTTGGTGAGGGGTTTAGCAATGAGCCCATAATCTTTGACGAATTTGCGATAGTATCCCGTCAGGCCAAGAAATCCTCGTAACTCCGTGATGGTCGTAGGTGGTGGCCAGTCAAGCATAGCCTTGATCTTGTTGTTATCCACCTTGACCCCATCTCCTGATATGATATGACCCAAATAATCGACCTCGCCTTGTCCAAACGCACACTTCTTCTGCTTAACAAATAATTTATGCGTGTGCAAAATCTCAAAGACTCGCTGAACATGATCTAGATGTTCTTCCCAAGAGCGACTGAAGATTAAGATATCGTCAAAGAAAACGAGTACAAATTTACGGAGATAGTTGCGAAATACCGAGTTCATTAAGGCTTGAAACGTAGATGGTGCGTTGCATAAGCCAAAGGGCATGACTAGGTACTCGTAGTGACCGTTATGAGTGCGGAATGCTGTCTTATGGACATCAGATGGGTGCACTCGGACCTGGTGATACCCTGCAGTAAGGTCGAGCTTTGTAAAGATGGTAGCGCCATGTAGCTCATCTAACATATCTTCAACTGTCGGGATTGGAAATCTGTCTTTAACTGTAACCGCGTTCAAGGCTCGATAATCTGTGCAGAAACGCCATGATCCGTCTTTCTTCTTAACGAGCAGAACTGGTGAAGAAAAAGGGCTGGAGCTCACTTGAATTAACCCGGTGGTGAGCATCTCTTGGACTTGGCGTTCGATTTCCTCCTTCTGAAAGTGGGCATAACGATAAGGTCGCACATTCACAGGGTCGCAACCTTCTTTCAGTGTGATCCGGTGCTCAATTTCTCGTGGCGGTGGCAGCTCCGTCGGAGAATTAAAGATCGCGGCGTAAGTCTGCACGAGAGAACTCATCTGTTCTGGGATGATGGGTACGGCGTCGTTCTCATTGTTGAAAGTTAAGGCGAAACAGGCCTGGCCCAATTTTGCTTCTCTATGTACTTCCTCGGGTTGGGCCTGCGTGATTGAGGTGTGTTGAAGCCCATGAATAATTCGCTTCTCTCCAGCCCGTGAAAACTCCAATGTCTGGGCTTTCCAATCGCACAACGTTGGGCCAAGTTCATGCAGCCAGTGCATACCCAGAACGATATCCTGGCCCGTGAGTGGAAGAGAATAATAGTCGATGTAGAAGGAAACACCGTCGACTGTGGTGAGAACCCGATGGTATGCTCCGGTGCATCGAATGGGGTGACCATCAGCTACACGCACATGGAATGGTTTAGTCACCGTCAGTTTAAGATTCAGGCGGTTTGCCACCTTGTCGGTGATGAAGTTATGCGTAGAGCCACTATCAATTAGGGCTATCAGCTTCTGGCGGTGGATCGCCGCAGTCGTACGGATCGTCTTCGGAGAACCCCACCCAGTGAGAGCATGAAGCGTGATCTCTGGTTCGTCCGTAGTTGGTGCGCCCTCATCTTCGTCTTTATCGTCTTCCTCATCTTCTATCCCTTCA